CCGAGGCCCGGCGGCGCTTCCTTTCTCTCTCCCCGCCCGGACGGCTCAGGCCCGCTCGAAGCAGCCCCCCGGGGGGCGATCCCTGGCCGGGTCGGCCGTCCATTCTCTTAATGGTGGTGGCATGGGCGCACCTGAACCACGTCCTTGGTGGTGGTGGTGGTGTTATTACACACCCTCCAGCCTTCCCCCCCACACACACATTTATGGCGCCCCCTCTGAAGGAGCGCTCTCACCCCAAGAGCTTAGCTTTTGCAATACAGGACAGACTGTGGCTTCCTTTAGGAAGTCAGTCCATCTCGCACGTGCAGTTCCTCCTTTCCTGCTGCCTTCCTCCTTCCCCAGCATGAGGGTCTCTCTTCCAGAGGATCTGGCCCTTTTTTTTACGAGGTGCCCAGACTGGGACAAGCCTCTATTTCAACATTTTCCCCCTCCAGGGAAATCCTCAGGCTGGATTTGATCTTCCTCTGTTCGTTGAAATGCATCCCCTCCAGAAAACTCCAGAAGCGTCTGGCTTGAGCGGAGGCATTTCTGGGGCTCCCCCTTCTGTGGAAAAGGGGTCCCCAAACCCATCCTGGAGGTCGGAACCCCATTTCTCAAGAGCGGGCACTCAGGCTGTAGGGTGCCAGGCTGAAACCACTGGAATCACGGCAAAGTCTCCAGAAAATACGAATGGAAATGGCCTGTTGACGAGGAAAAGGGCTTCAGAGAGGTTTTTTGCTGCAACACCTCAGGGCTCCAATGGTGAAAGGCACTTTGCACTGTGCATGGTGTATGTTGGTGTACATACAAATAGGACTATTTACTGGGGTCTAGTGCCTGCAACACCTTAAAGCGTAGCGGGCTCACCATGGGGTCAATACAGCCCTGCCTCGTGGCAAATAGGTTGAAACTGTGGCTGTCCTCCTTTGCACGCATCATAAAAGTCAGGATTCTCTGTAAAAGACCATCATGCTGGGGAAGGTGGAAGGCAGCAGGAAAAGAGGAAGACCAAGGATGAGATGGACTGGCTCCCTAAAGGAAGCCACAGGCGGGTTTGCAGGAGCTGTGCAAGGTTGCTGCGGATAGGTACCTTTCAGAGATTGCTCGTTCATGGGGCCGCAATAGGTCGGGGCGGGAAGGCCGAATCAGCCTTGAGCCAGCTCCCTGAATCCATTGAGACTGAACTCAGCTTGTGAGCAGAATCTTGACTGCAATCATGCAGTTTAACTACTGCCCCATGAGGCTGCTGTGCAAAAGGTGGTGTCTCACGTTTTGCCTCCCACCAGTAAGTCACAGCCAGGGCCACTGGGAAAAAAAACATGTCTTGAATGAGAAAGCAGGGAGTTGGGCCAGCCGGCGAGCCACCCCGTTCTGGCAGGCTTGAGTACAACCGTGTTGGTGTGCTCCCGTGATGCATGATGCATATGCGACCATTCTGGTGGTAGCACCTGGCAGGACTATGGAGAGATATCAGAGGACAGAGCTTCATGGGCCTGCAAGCTCACCCACCTCAGTTGTGGGTGGCGCGACACTTCTGTTGCTAATTGAATTAAGACCTAAGTGGCAGAGCAACAGGAGCTTCGACTCCGGGAGGCAATATCTAGAGAGCACGAAAAGAGCACAAACCCGCTGTTTGTTATTTGCTGCTGGAAGGTGGCAACCCTGCCTATCAGAAGGAACTATATTGCCTCCTCTTTCTTGTCCTTGCGGGGGAAGGAATCACAAAAGAAAGAGGTGGGCTCAGAGTAGAAGTAGTACTCCTATGACCATCACAGGTCGATACCTGGGCATTTCTCGACGTTCCTCATTCCTCTGCCTATGTATGCCATTCTCACGTGAGCCAAGCTGAATGGAGGCAGTGAAGCCCCAGGCATCAAGATTGCTGGTTACAGCTCTGCCATTTATTTAATAATTGGAGTTTTACACCATTCATCTGGCTGCCAAGGCCACTCTGGGCGGTTTACAAAACAGGATAAAACAATAACATAACCATAATCAAATAACCAAACAAAATCTGAAAGATACTTTAAAAGTTACAGTAAAAAACTACATAATAAAAGCGTAATAAAGTAAAAGCACGGCGGTGGGTTGGATGTTAATTATGAAAAACACCATCCATACTGATTTGCTCAAATCCACAGCATCCCATTCTCTGAGATTTCAAGAGTGATACCCGAGTCCAGGAAGCAGATCCTTGCGATGTTGCAGAGGCCGGGTAGACAATGGATGCAAGGAGCCTAGAACTGCTTCTCGGACTGCTGAAATGGTTAAAAGCGGAAACCATGTGGTTAGTGGGCCTAGAAACCAAGTAAAATCTTCTCCACCTGGTTAATATGGCAAACTCAGGCCAGAGCTATAGACCAATTTTGGGTGTCGAACAGCAAAATATACTTTGGTTGTTGTGGGTTTTCCGGGCTCTTTGGCCGTGTTCTGAAGGTTGTTCTTCCTAACATTTCGCCATTCTCTGTGGCCGACATCTTCAGAGGACCTGAAGCCTTCGCGAATACAAAATACACTTTCTCGTTAGAGCTTACATCTGTGTGACAGCCAAAGCTTGGGGAATGAGGACAAATAGCCTAATTAATGAACTTTTTTAGTTAGAGGCTGCAAACATCTACTCTGTTTGTATTAATTTTAGTCAGAAGATTTCATTAAGTAACAATAAGATTAAAGGTGTATTTTAAAGGAACCCTTGAAGAAGATGGTATATATTACTGTGATCAACACAGTTCCATAAGTGATATTTTCTTGTTTATGCGTCTTATTATCGGAGAAACACGGTATTACTGTGATCAACACAGTTCCATCAGTGATATTTTCTTGTTTATGTTGTCGACATTGGTTTTGTTGTTGATTTTTGTAGTCTAAATTGGCTTTCCCAGCCTAGCATTTGGGACTATAAATCCCACAGTTCAGTGACTGGTTGGGAATTGTGTGATTCGGAATCCCACGGATTTGCATTTTTTTCCCTCCCTTCCATCCCCATCCGCAGCAACACTCAACTTTTGTTTACTCATCCTTCAAACACTGTGGATTGTTTGATGAGAATGATGCCTTTATTCCAGCTAGAGGGTAGTGTTGTTGCTGTTGTTGCTGTTATGTGTTGTAAAACAGTCCCCGACTTATGGCAACCCTATGGATGAGCAATCTCCAAAATGTCCTCTTCTCAACAGCTCTCGTAAATTCAAGCCCATGGCTTCCTTTAGGGATTCATCTCGTATTGGGTCTTCCTCTTTTCCTGCTGCCTTTCCACCTTTCTCAGCATGATGGTCTTCTCCAGAGAATCCTGCCTTCTCGTGATCTGTCCAAAGAGGATCCAGAGTCATGCAAAACAGTAAATGGCTGCAAATATTAGTCAGGAAATTAAGGGTGGAGAATTTTTAACTTGAAGTATTTTGAGTACCTCTGAGCTTATGCAGAACATTTTCCTGCAGTACTGAGTAAATTTATTTTGCCTCCTTGTTTTGGCTCAGGAAAAAATAAAGTATGGTCAACTAAGAGCTCGATCGTACTGTTAATAAAACCTGCT